GTATACCTCCATGGATGCTGCAGTATCCTTTTTCCAGTCTGAATAACCACAAGCCAGTGAAGGAATATTGTGTTTGTTTTTTTTCATAAAGCAGTGGTGCAAGTGGTGTGAACAGCAGGGGTGCTGATTTCATGCTTCCCTGCTCTTGTAAACAGTGGAAAGGCAAAGAAGAGGAACTAACTCAATCACTGGATTGTTCATTATGGATGAACAGTGGCACACCTCTGGCTGCAAGGGAGCCACCAAACAGCAAGAGCCTCTGTCAACCACAGCTGACAGTACCAGAGGCAAAATATTGCACATTCTGGATTTTCTCAACCTTAAACTCTCTGGGATGTTTCTCCTTTTAAGCCCTGGGCAGCTTAGCCTGGGACACTGAAGGTTCTCCCTGGTGTGAGGCATCTCCTGGTGCCCAGCCCCACATGCTGCACTGCAAGTTCACCCCAGGGAATGGCAAAGGGAATTCTGCACTGCACCTTTCTGACCCCAGCTGCACTCAGGGCTATCTCAGAAGGACTCTCTACTGCCAGGTTATCGGGACTGATCTCAAACACTTAAAGTGATGGATGACATCACACAAACATACAAAATTGGCCTTAGAACTTGGCTTTAGGGCATAGCTGAGGATATTTTTTGCCTACTTCTGACTTCTGCACTTAAAGCAAGCTTTTGAATTTCTCTCTTCAAGCACGTTGGTGAAGGACAACTTCAAACAAGGTCAAAATGTGTGAAGATTCAGTCATCTTCAGAAGCTGGATTTTATCAGAGCACTGGCATCAGTAGACATGGGAATTAAATCCTTCAGGCCAGAAACAGTATTGCACCATATGGAGTCTGAATCCTAACAGCAGCAGGGTGGAAGATGTCAGTCTGGGTGGCAGTTCTCCCATTCCCTTCCTTCTCTGCAGAATTATCCCTACGTTACTCAGCTCAGTTAGGTATGGTCTAATTAGGTATGACTTTCATGTGTTTATTCCAGACCATGAAGTTAAGCTCTACCAGAAGAGGCTGCTTTAAAGGCATGTAGGAAGTGCCCTCTTTATGAACAAGATCCATGAGACTTGTGTTTATCCCTCGAAAAGTGGATACTGCATAAATAAATCAAGACAGTATAAGGAACCAGCTGGATCCCCAGGCCTCTTCTGAAGGTGATGTGGGGTCCTAGAAATTATTCACTTGGTTATGGGCCTTTGTGCTGTGTAAACCAGAAATTGGTGCAGATCTTTCCCTTTGCCCCAGGTAATGATGTAGGTGGGAAATACTCTCCTTGTACTGTCTGATTTCAAGTGGTTCAGTAGGGCAGGACGAGAGGTGAATGGAGGATGGTTATTCTAGGAAAAGGGACTGGGGTGGGCAGTAGGAATTGCTTCACTGGTGAAGTCCTCACCATTCCTTGTGTAATTAGCCACTTGTCTATGGGCTCCATGTCTGAGTTCCCACCTTTACCTCTCCTCTGTGTTGAGAACAGAAAGGTCCATAAAGAGAGAAACCACAGCAACAACCCGTGATAAAGTAATTTAACAGCAGCAAGTTAAAAACTTCACATACACATACACACACTCAGTGCTGCCTGTGGGAGCTCCTGGCAGTGGCTGCATCCCCCTCTGCTGCCCGTTGGCGTGGAGGGACAGACCTCAGCCCGACCTCTGCACTTCCTACAGACAGTTCACAGAACTTCAGCACTTCCTCCATGCTGGCATTAAAAAAAATTCAAAAAATAATAAAAAAAATAAATCGCTGAGGAGTAGTGAGGCTGATGTTTGTCATCTTCTTAGAAGGAGAGGGAGTGTGGGCTATACAACCTACCAAAAGCAGTCAGGCTTCTCTGGAAACACCAGTATTCTACCCTGTGGAGCTTCCCTTGCTTCTGAGGCTGTGAGTTGCATCACCCCCTACTTAGCTCCTTGATCTCAGCAGCCAGATTCTGCCCCAAACTCCACCAGGACGAAGCTCTGATGATGGTGTGGAGCAGGAGGGTAAGCAGCAGCAGTCTGCTGCAGTGTCCTGGCAGCCTTTCAAACTGCCCCTCTCGAAGGGCAGTGAGGTTAAAAGGACTGTGCTGCTGCATCCAGCTCCTCTGAGCAGGTTGCAGATTGCACAGCACGGCAACATCAAGCCTCTCGAGATGGCTTCTTGTCCTTCAGCATCTCATCCCTAAGCCAGGGCCAGGATGCAGAGTCATCTCCAGCTCTGGAGGGGCTTACCTGGGACCAGCAGGGAGCAGCAGTCCCAGCCCACCAGCCCTGCCAGGACTGGGCTAGCTCAGCAAAGAGCTACTGATGTGTTTATGGACCTCCAGCCAGATACCTGCACACATGGGCTACCTCTCCTGTCCCCATTACCACAGGTAAGGGAAAATCAGCCATAATCTTTTCTGTCTTATTTCAGTACTTGAGCTGGGAAGAAAAAAAGGGGGAAAGCACTCCAACTTCTTCTACTATCTGTGTAACACCAGAGGATTGTTTCTTGGACACCTCTCCTCCCAGCTGCGCTCACGCAACAGCTCTGTGGCAACAAAAGCAATTCCCAACATGGAAAAGCAATATTAAGAAAACAGTGTATTTTTAGCTCGTCTTGTTTCCAGCTGCTAAATCATATTAAAAGACAGCTAATGCCACGTGATCAGCCCTCTCTCTACAGACCACTCTGAGAATGACTACATTAGAAATGTCGGATGTGCTGAATTTTACCACTGGACAACTGTGCTGGAACAAGACGCGTGTGAAGAATGTGCTGTGAAGCTCTTGGCTCCTCCCTAGAGCTGTTCTTAAATTAGCTCTCTACCCAAATCAACCCATGTCTTTCGTTTGCTGAGCACGGCCAGTTATTTTTTTTTTTGCAGTCGCTGGTAACTTTAGGAGGGTTTCATTTTTATTTCCTTTAAGAAGAGACACCCACAAGCCTCACAACACCACACAAAAAAAGTATCGTTTTCCCATTACTGAAAGACTGCATTTCAAAACAAGCTACTCTGATTACATGATACAGTCTTTGGGACCTTTGAAAAGAGGCTGAAAGTCTCTACGACATCTCAGAGCCCAAAGTTCCACAACCCATAAAGCATTTGCCCCAAAAAACTTTGACCGACAGATTAACTCAGACACAGCCCTTTGAACTGACAACACTTTGGGCAGAGCAGCAGCTTTGCTGGTGTGAATGACACGTCCCAGTGGTGCCTCAAGCAGAACTGGCTGAGAACAAAAGTGTTAATAAATAAGGACATGACCCTGTGGCCACAGGGGAATACAGCCCCCTTGACCAGTAGCTAAAAGCAAGCCCCTGTGTTTGGTTAGCCAGGAACAACAAAGCAGAATCTCAAATCCTTTCCCAGGTCCTGCCAATAACACAGCTCAGTGATACTGGGGGTTTGGGCTGTCACACTGGCTTCAGGAATTCCCCTCTCACCCCCCTTAATACACTTCTGCCCCTGCCTCCTCACCCTCCCCCCTCTTCCCTCAGCACTGCTGGCATGAGTTTTTGTGGGGCCAAGCTCAAAACTGGCCACGGGGCTGACCTGGGTTATAAATTTCCCTTTTTGCAGGAGGACAGGGACAGGAACAAGCAGATAGATTTATGGGGCTGGGGGATGCTCCGTATGAAATCATTGCTGGAGCCCTGCTACCACTGAACTACACCCGAGGTAGGCAGCTGTGATCTGACCCTAGCTGGCTCCCAGCACAAATTCTCCCTGGCTCAGAGCACAAGCTGCCAGGCATGCCAGCTGCCCCCAGCGCTCCCATTTCAGCTTATGAAAGACCCAGGGAGGGATCAGCCCAGGCATGAGGAGGCAGCTCTCCATGGAGGGAGGGGTGTGCATGCTGCTGCCTCTCCCCAGCTACACTGGCTCTGCCGTGCTCCCTAGTGGTCAGCACAGACCCAAAAGGGACGATGAAAAGGCTCCCAATTCGTCCTAAAAATCTGCACACAGCTGAGTACAAAAGAGCAGGACGGTTTTAAAAAGCAGGGATGGCAGGGAGGGGTTGAGGGATGATCTGAAAGCTCCTTTCACTTCTGCCTTCACTAAGGTATGCAGACAAAGCCGGCCAAGCTCGCTCTCAAACACGTTCCTAGCATCAGCTGCTGGGAGGTGACAGCACGTGGGCCTCTCCTGCCCACACAAGAGAGCAGGAGCCACCCAGGGACAGCTGGACAGGCTGCATGCAAGGGCACTTAGGGCAAGGCATGTGAAGCAGTAAAAATCTGTGTAACTTCTCTCCCTGTAACTTGCTCGTGTATCTATGCACTTTAGAGCAAAGTCTAGCAGATGAAGGCTGCATCGACTTTTGTAAGCCAAACCAACCCAAACCAACACACACCAGTGTTCACAAGACATTCCCCACTTATTCTTTCCAGCAGTGATTCCAGCCAAAGAGCTGGGTCCCCCCAGGCAAGCTGCAAGAGCACAGGAGAATCTACCCACTATGACTTTAAAGTGTTTTAGCCTGGTGTGCTAAGTAGCAGCTCTTTAGAGATCATTACTGAGCGAGTACTTGCTCCTAGATATCAATTTCAGAAGAGCCAGTACTGGCCTGTTGCTGGAATACAGAATGAGCAGCCTCAGTCAAAGCAGCTGCCTACAGCTTGGATTCCACGCACGGCTTCAGATAACAAAATGCAGAGCAGTGACCTACCCCTCCTGTGTTCTGTTTTCGAACGTCCAGGGCAGAGGCAAGTCCTTTGACAGCCTGTGGATCCTCGTACGTCACGCTGAAAGGAAGGAACAAACCACAGAACTAGAAGGAAGTCCAGCAGCCACCCCACGCAGAATGCACTTGCTGCTCCCATTTACTCCCCTGGAAATCAGAAAGCACATTCTTTTCCTTAACAAGACTTCAAGTGTCCTAAGTGTATTCCAGGAAGAGGAGTGTGCTCTGTATAATGACCATCCATCAGTTTCAGCAGCATGCTGAAGTGAGAGGACTAAGACTGGATGGTGAAAGGTAGGCAAATAGGTTAGGAGCGTGTCCAAGAGCCAGCAGGGGACTCTGAAAAGCAGCCTGATTACTGATTATGTTTTGCAAAGGTTTGAAAATGACATTTGGAGGCCTCACCTTGATGTGTGCGTGGGGAGGAGGCAGAGGGAGTCTCAAAGACAGATGAACCATACCTAAGCAACTGCAGTGAAGCATACCAAGAAATGCTCTCTTTACAGAAGTTGGGCTTTTAAAAACCTTCTTAAGCTGCTGTGCAAGAGGGACACGTAGCAGCCAGGTGACAGAGGCAATAGCTCATTGCTGAGTACAGTGGCGAGCTGTGAGCTCAAGCAGACACCAGCACCTGCCCATAACTCAGCCCCTGGGAGGAGCTGGGTGTCTGAGCAGAGGAGCATGTCCTCCTCCAGCCTGCTGGCTTCTCCCAGGCTCCCAGCACAGCACCCAGAGGCTCTCGCCTACACACTGCAGCAAGGCACACTCCTGCCTTCACTGCCTCAATGCTGCTCCACTTACACTTCCCAGGAAGAGCAATCCTCCCTTGTGAAATCGGGCTGATATGTGCTCCTTGTTCCATCAGCTTGCAGAAGGAGACAGAGGTGCAGTGGGGGAAGACTAGTTTTGTGCTTCATTTAGCACAAGAGACAGAGGGACCTTCATTAGATCTCTCCGCAATGCATCTCCTTCCTGACTATACATTAGGGCTCTCAGCCTGAAACCTCCAGGGGTAACACACAGATCTCTGTGGTAGAGCACATCTTCCAACACTCATACCACAGCTGAGGCAGTGCCAATTGCTATACTGATAGCTGGAAATAAAAGATCCTAAGAAATGGGCTGGTTCAAGTTTTCCAAAGCTGCCGAGTTTTTGATCATCTGCTGAGGTCTAAGTTAAAGTATTTAACAACATTTCTTAGCTTGAGATGAGATATTGATGATGTTCTGACTGCTGGCAGCCACTATATCCTCTACAAACTGAAAACAGGAGGAGGCAAGAAATAATAAATGGAATTAAAATACCCGAGTGTGTCTTTCACTGAATCTCACCTGACAAGGTTCAAAGGATTTCTGAAGTGCATATATTTATTTTACATTAAAATAAATTGACCTGCTAAATGCCCTTGAAAGTGCCAGATTTGCAGCTCTAGAGATGCAAGCCCTATGCATATAAACAAATTAGGGAGAGCACAGCAGCCAGGCAAGCTACACTGCCCTGACAGCCTGTGAGAGTCTGACCGCCGGGCCAAAGGGGGAGTTCAACTGGATGGTAATTCTGTTTCCAAGCCCCTGATGACAGTAATTCAGTCACCAAAGTATATCCATGACCTCTGGGTGAAGGACCCTTATGCTCCTGTATCTCAAGCACTGGCCAGGTGGATGGGATGACAAGCCTTTCTGAGAGGAAGCATCTGCAGAAGTAAAGGCAAGTTCATTTCCAAGTTTGCAGTGAGCTCATTAACTAGGACAGTCAAATAACATCACTTGGCCCAGCAGCAGGAACTTCTCCACTTGCTCATATTAATAATGACCAAAAACACAGGGACTGGATTGAAAGGGCATAAAAAAAAAATAAAACTAGTCTGGAATGAAATCAAGAAGTTTCAGATTTATGCCCTTAGGAAACAGCAATGCCAGGATTCAAACAGCACTGAAGACAAACTCCAACTTACTTCTTTCGCTGCTCGGCCAAGGAACTGCCTCTTGTCTGTGCAAACATGTCAAAGTCATCACGAGGGTTACAGTGCTGCAGAGAGCTGAGTGTGCCACTGACACTGTTGGTACCCAAGTCTGCAACCAGAGGAAGACAAAGCAAATCAGTGAAATCCCCAACCCCAGGCAAACACGGTTGTTCTGATGCTGTCGGTGCCAGAGGAAGCATTAAGGACACGCCACAGCAACAGAGATCATCTAGTTCACAGCTGCAGCACTGAACACAGCTCTGTCCAGAAGAGCCTGGAGGCTTCTTATCACCCACTTCTTAGAAGACAAACTGTCTTATTCCTCCTGGAAGCACCACACTGTAAGTACTCTTCATCAAGAAGCTGGTGTTTGGGAACGGGCGTGCCCCTGCTGCCAACCTCAGCCTGAGGTATTTACTGTTCTCCAACAGGGTCCAAAATTTTGGGCATGGATTACTAGTCATCTCCACAATGCTGTCTCTCAGCTATTGACAAACTGAGTGATATGATATTGGCACAGTGCTGAAAGAGGTGGAGAACCTTCAGGCAAAGCAAGTGAGACTACCAAGCAATCTTTGGTTTGATTGGAAGTAAAACATCTAACAGTTCATAAAACCTTTCATCCAAAGATTTCAAATATTATCTGTAGAAGGGGAATCAAGAACATTCACCAAGCTGATTTCATTGAGAGCTACACCTAAAAGTAGTAGTACAAGTTTTACCACCAATGAGAACCTGCACCCTTTCCTTCAGTCTCCCCTTTGGTTAATAAATCCCTCTCTCTGTGAGCTGGTTCTCAATTACAGATGGCCACAGTGGCACTTGAGGCTATGGTCTAGTGGTTGGGGAAATTAGGAGGAAGGTTGGACTTGATGATCCTGGAGGTCCTTTCCAACCACAGTGATACTATGATTCTATGAAAGCCTTTCTAATCCTATAAGTCACCCCTCCAAACCTTCTGAAGGCTACAGGGCAATGCTAATCAGGTAGTAGAGAGCCAAAGGTTGCAGAAACTCCCTGATCCACATGTGAAAAATGGCTTCTTGTAAATCCCAACTGCTCACTGTGATAAGGGCTTGTACTGGGTGTTTACATTGGTCACAGTGACCTCAGCAACCTAAGTCTGAAACTCACATTTCATAGGATCCTAGAATGGGCTGGGCTGGAAGGGACTTGAAGATGGTCTAGTTCCACCACCCTGTCACAGGCAGGGACACCTCTCATTAGACTAGTTTGCTCAAAGCTCCATCCAGCCTGGCCTTGGACACTTCCAGGGATGGGGCTTCTATAGCTTCCCTGGGCAACCTGTGCCAGTCCACTTGCTTCCACAATCACACAGCTGGATTGTACAGCAGCCCCTGTTGCAGCCCCACAGACAGGTTAGGCTGGAAAAAGTCCATGCATTGCTGGCCCACGTTCACCAGCACTACTGAGATCAGGTACTCACCAAGCCCTGCAAGCTGTGAAGAAAGTGAGGATGGGGGGGCTGAGTTTCCAACCATTGGGCTCACGACAGCTGGAGAGCCAGGACCCAAATCTATTAAATTATCTTCTGTCACCTCATTCAGTACCTGATGGGACACAAGAAAAACAGCAAGTGACACATGGTAGAGATTTCTTCTTGCAGTGCAATTGTAAACACCAAAAAATAATGGGCACTTCCAAAAAATTATTTCTCTTGCATAATGTCAAACAGACCAGTCTCTTGGATACTACAGTAATGATTTCAGAATAAAAAGGGTCAGCCACCAAAAAAAAGCTTCATCTGACTGCTCAGCACAGCAGGAAACTCTCCTGGAGGTCATCTACCTCTCTTCAAATTTAGCTAATGTGTCTATGTGCTCCAGCTCTTTTAGCACTGGACCAACATCAGATTTAAATCAAAGAGAATTTGCTCCCACCTTCCACATGAGGTATAAACTGTTCTCAGAAACAAAACTTCTTTGTTATGGCTGATGTCATAATGCAGAGCCTGTGCTAAAGTTTGCCTCACAGTATGGTAGAAGTGGCAATCAAACAGGTAAAGTAAATGGAGGAAACAGAAGAATGCAGAATAGAAAAGGTAATAGTGCCATGTATGAATTAGTCATAAACTCAGATCCTAAGCACTATAAAAAAACCCTATAAAACAGTTTTCACTGAAAGAACAATTAGAACTGTAACTCTTCAGCCTGGAAAGGGACTGCTGAAGAAGGAGATGAAAGAGGTTCCTAAAATTATGAGTGGCATGAAGAAAATTAACCTGAACAGCAGTATGGCAAGACACAATGAAGAAGAATTAGGTAGAGTAAGTAAAAATGATTAAGTGACTTGATCAAACGTAAACAAAACATTTATTATTATATAAACATACTCTGTTTATTATATAAATACCCACAGAAATATGTAAAAAGGTGCAGTGAAACTGTGGAAGTCACTACTTGAGGACACTGTGAATGCCTGAAGTCCACATGGACTCCAAAGAAGTTTGAGTTAACAGAGGAAAGAAAATCCATCAAATATTTTAGTGTAGTGTCCTCTTGAGCTGAAAGTTGTCACCTTCCCTTTGCCACACTCAGGCTCTTTTCCTAGTACCCCCTATTAGCCACTACAGGCAGGACACAGGGCTGGACAGGTAGAAGGTCTGATACCAGGAATATTAGCCTGGTGAGCATGGTGTGGCTGCTGATGTCATAAATGGATTTAGGTACTTACTCCATTGCTGGCATTTTGTGTTGAACGTCCTGATCTGTATCGTTCAAATCTGTGTAGAAAAACACAAACACAAAAACTCCATGGACTATAAAAGCCACCAATAAATGATGAAAAACACAAGTTTATAGCAAAGCCATGACATGCTTGCCACTGAACTTAGTTGTTGGCTCAAGAAGGAACCCTGAAAGCTTTAACTCTGAGCCAGGACAGAGGGAGGATAGTTGCAGAAGTTGCATTCTTGGCAAATATGGATATTAAATTGACTAATCTGATCTCACAGCCTGAGATACACTGCAGGATTTGTCTTTGGGTTTTGTTTTCTTTTGCACTAAGTGCTTCGTGGTAGATGACTATGTCAGCCAAGGGGCAGGAACTGCAGCAAGATTGATGCTCCCAGCTAAATAAGGCTCAGAGCCTCAGCAAGTCCTACTCCCACTTAACAGCTCCCTCTCGCTGCAATCCATGTAAATGAGGAGCCATCTGCAGGTTAGCACAGCCCTGCCCAAGAGAAACACTCACTCCTCAGCAGATTCACTCCCTAAAACATTCTGGGTCAGCTCAAATATCATCAGCACCTAGGTTCAAACAGGTGGCTACTTTCCAAGATGGAAAAGTAATGATGTCAGATAAACCTCCTCCTAGTTCTCAGGGGAAGAAGTCTGGCTAGTCAAGATCTGGGCTCCTCTCTACTCCTTCCCCAACCAGCTGCATATTTGGGGGCACAAACCTAAACCCATCTTTCACAAACTGAAAAGATCAGGGGGAACTACCTCTTCCCAAGGCCTGTCTGAGGCCACTTTGGTCTCCTTCCTTACCAGGAAAAGCACCATGATCCCTCTGAGGTTACAATATTTAATGGTATTTTCACACATAACCTCTCTTTTCAGTAAAAACACCATAATATCCATATAGTCCTGTGGGTTTTCTCCCAGATGGACAAAATCCAACAGGGAATCTCAAGCAAAGTGAAATGTTTTCTTAATGAAGCTGAGGAAAATACAGACTTAAAAGGCAGGAAAACCAAATTCGGGCCCAAGTTTCAATTTTGGGAAACTGTGGGTGTCTACTATTACTGGCAATCCATCTCCTTTTGCTGGAAACCTAGGACACCTCCCACTTCACATTTCTCACCAAAAGGCTTATGAACCACACACTCATTTACACCCAGAGCTTCGAGGCAAAGGCCAGAGCTCCTGCCTGAGTCACTGGCAGAGCCTGGGACCCATCCTAGAAATCTGTGTGCTGAATGTGGAGCTTTTGGAATAACAGAGGAGGAGCTGGAATTTACTGAAAGGCTCAGACCAGTGCAGCTCTTCTACCACAAATAGCCTGCTGACATCACTCAGCTCACCTTTAGTGTGCAATGACTACAAATACATCAGCCCCAGCCAGCAAAGTCACAGATGGGGGAAAACAGGAAAAGTATTAAGGGTGTCCAGACTAAGCCTTAGTGACAGTGACACTCTGCCACTTGTAGAATCATGCTCGTGCATGAAACACATACCAATTTCACATAAAAAGCCAACACTTCTTTCAAAGTTTGCCCTGATCTCCTCTGAACGACTAAATCAAAGATAAAATTGAGGCCACTGAGCCTTCTTTCCAGCCTTTGCCTGACAGCACAGATCCACAGATCTAGAGCCTAATTTATTTTTAAAGGCTTGAGAAACAAAGCCCTGTGCTAAAAGCAAGGAACAAAGGGTACTCTTTAGTGCCTCACTCCCCGGGCCTGTCATTAAGGGGAAGATTAAACTTTCCCAAGACCACCGTATCACGTGTCACCTCCTGCAGCAGATGTGCCTGACAGAGCCTTTGTCTAACGTGCCCAAAGTCCTGTGACCCACGTCCTGCCCCTGGGGAAGATTCCTGCAGACCAATTCTTCAAAACCTCAGCTCTGTGCAAGACAGGCTTTTTTTTTTTTCTTTTTCCCCCCAAGATTTTAAGTGTTACTTAAAAACAAAACCTTTACATGCATGAAGGTCACGCCCACTTCAGACAGCTCCCCCTGCACCAGTTCTGGCACTAGAAAGCTCAGAGATCAGAAGCTGGAGCCTCCCTAAGCCAGGGAGCAGCACAGGCATTTGTGCAGAGCCCAGGCATGCAAGCAGAACTAGGGAGTCTGGCTGTGCTGTCTTCTGTCCCAAGTCCCTCCATCCACAGAGCACTGCAACACCAGGGACCTCAGGCTCAAGTCTCTGCCAGTTTTGCACAAGTTTGCCTTGCATTTTATGGCTATGCACCACAAAAATTCCAAGGCTTGGATGAAAAAAAAAATAAAAATCATAGTATTGAAGGAACAATGACAATGGGAATACTTAAAATAAAAGACCATAAAGAGACTTTGTAAATGCTTTCTGTGGTTTGGTTCTCTACGTTTCCTTATGTTGGACCATCTCTTGCCAACTGACCTATTTTACACTGAAGTGAAAACCTAGAACAAATGCAGACAGTGGATGGAAGATGTGCCTCACCTTTCATAGCGGAGGAAGACATTATTTAAATCATCATTCACATGCAGCAGCTCCTCTGTGACTTCTTCATTGGACACTCTTGAGATAAGCTCCACGATCCTCTGCTGCATAGCTCTGCAGGTCCGGTTCAGTTCCTAGGAGGAATGCATTGTGCACACACCTTCTGATAAGCAGCTAGTAATAACTAGATTTAGTTGAGCTCTGTTCACAGCCAAACCTATCCCCCAGCTGAGAACTGCTAAGACAAGTCTATCTTTGCATGATTAAATGTCACCCAAAAGCACATCTAATCAAACATGCCCTTCAAGAGTCGACGACATAAAACCTTGAGAACCTATTTACAATTCAGCATCACAATTCTTCTCTAACTCTCAGCACTTCAGAAAATAAATATCTGTATTTTAGTGATGTTTTAAGAATAAAACATATTAATACAACAGCTTTTCAGAAAAGAGCTTTCAAGGAAAATTCAATCTGCTCCTTTTGGCAATATTGTCCCTCAAAACTAACAGATGCACAGGGTGGAACAAGTGGTGCAGAAAAGTTCACTGGGGCTACCACGAGTAGCCAAGTGTGGGTGAGGAAGAGAAGCACTGAGGATGCAGAACTTACCAACTACTGAGAGCATGAGGGTGAACACAAAACAAGCAGGAGGAGCATGAAGAGATGAGCACTCCACACACACTGAACTACACAGCAAAATGTTCCCTTCAACTGAGCAAGCCCAGAGAGAAGAGACACTGAAAAAGCAGTGAGGAGTTTCAGAAGAAAAATTTAAAGAATATAGAATAAGGACGTTTCTTTGAGAAGTCTCTCATGCCAAGAAATCTAGATATAAGTTTGCCTAAACCAGTTCTCACACTTCTGGGACATCCCTCCCATCACCAATTACTTAGCAGACAGAATTCTTTACTCCTGAAAGGCCTCGAGACCAAAGGTCAAACCTGCTCTGTTGAGGAGGAACTACAAGAAGAAACATGACATAAGGCACAGCACCACTGATGAGGCCCACAGTTTTACTTCAAGAAGCACTGACATTCCAACTAAAGCATGTCCCTCTCATCTTCTACCCCTCTCTCCCTCCCCTTGCCCCCAACAGCTCCACTTCACAGCCAAAACTGAGCACTAAACAAGGATGACTTGTTGGTACACAACCTTCGGGATGAAAGCAAAAATGTGTTTGTTTTCCTTGCTTGGTCTGACATCCTAAGCTCTGGATAAATTTCACCTAGTGCAATCCAGCTGCCTTAACAGCTTGAGGAATGTGTTCTCCAATGTCAGTTTTGATCCCATCACTTTAGAAGCAGATTGTGACATTTCAGGGGTTTGTTTGCTGCCTTTCTGAGAGGGCTGACAGTACCTATCTATTCTGGTCAGAGCTGGCTCTCTAGCAAGCTGTTTACATTCAATTGTTGGAGAAAATGTCAGGAATTATTTAAGGAGGAGGGCTATATAAACCTCAAAGCAAGGAGTCCTTGCAGGCAGCACCCTGCTCACAGCTTTCAAAAGACTAACCATCCTTTGTGATCAAAAATGGGTTCTCCCCAGCTCTGTGAATCAGATTTAGGCTGCATCAGTCAAAGAAGGGAACCAGTTGGACTAAAGCATTGTTGCTGTCACTTCATTTTATGATCAAGTTCTTTCACCTTAAAGCTATGCTGTAAGGTTATGCTGTCAAGATGTTGGTAGTTGTTTCTGAGTGTAAGGAAACTGTCGTACGCTGGTTTGGTCTGTTGTGGTTTCCTGGAAGCTTCTTTTGTTTTGAGCAGTTCGACCCAAACGGGCAGGAACTGAAAGGCTCTTTATGGCAAAGCCTCTTATCAGCTGCCACGATGGCTCTGAGACAAACACACAATACTGCTGCATGGGAGAGACCAGTTTTTGGATGGATTTCAAATTCTGATGTATCACAGAGAGCAACTCCCTGCCTTCCTCCACGTGTACTGCAGTGGGAACCCATCCTCCCTGCCAGAGGATCAAAACAGAAGCCTGTTTCTGAAGCTATGGAAAGGCAAGTACTGTGTTAAGGGCAAGAGCTGGAATGCTGGATCACAGGATTTCTCATCCCTGTTGCAGGTAGTTCTATATTAAATCCTCAGCCAAAAGGCCACCCCACTGCCACTGGCCTAGGAAAACAGGGATGAAGCTTGAAACATGAGCTCAACTTACACAGTTTTCCCTCTTGAGATAATAAATGCTGCACTGGATTGAGACTTTCCAGCAAAGAAATCCCCTCTGATTACCCACTCTAACTCTCCAGACAGCATGAAACTTTGCCTGAGTGCCTGCTTTGACACACTACCTTCAGGAGAAGATACAGCACATCTTCTACAAAAACAGTTCATATACAAGACTTCAAGTGGCAGAGAATCCACAGACCTTTAGCAGGACCTAGTCCAGCTGGAAACATGGGAGTGTTTTTTCCTGCACAGTGACTCAGAATGTTTTGACACTGCACAAGTGACAATGGAGGATGTAAAAGAAGCAGAAATGCTCAGGGCTGACAGAGCCTATGGCAACTCTAAGCTGCTTTGTGGTAAAGGACATCATATATTCAACACTGGGAAAAATTTCCAGCTACATGGAGCAGGATTGGAACAAGTTTTGAGGGAAGTTGGGAAATCCTTGCCACTGGAAGCTTTAACAAATGAAGAACATGAAGTGATGAGGCTAACCAGGGTCCAACACAGCCCACGTTCAGCCCACATGCATTATGTAAACCAAGCAAAGCGAGGCAGTGAACTACCACAAAACCCACACAACCCCAGAGAAACTCAAGCCCAGAAAGGATCAGAATCCTATTTCCTAGGAAACCGTTACCTGGAGTAACTCAAGGTCTGAGGAATCCTCTTGTCCAGGTACCATTTCTGTCAGCATTTCAGACATCACTTTTGTATTCCCACGAACAATATCCAGCTCACTGCGCAGCCGGGCAATCTAAATTGGGGTAAAAAAACAGCAAAATGCTGCATTATCTTTTGGTATAAGCAGATCATTTTCAAGAACTGACTTTGCCTGACTTGATATCTGAGGCTCCAGACATTTTAGCAGGGAAAAAAACAAACAAACAAACAAAAAAGATAAAATGTTTACCCAGGAGAGAATTTTAGACAGCAACAGAAAAAGAAAAGAGCTTTGCAGAACCCCTGACTATCATCACAAACCCAGATGTGTTCTGCTTGTGGGGAAGGGCAGCAGTTGAAAACAGCAGCTATAATCCTCACAGGTGGGGAGAGATGTACAGTGGTCTTTAGCTCTGGAGTTGTTATTTTTGCAGAGAGAAAAGAAGCTCCTATGTTAGGGCAGTTGCAAGGGTCTTACAGATGCAGATTTAACCCCTTGTTAGACTTCCTGCATCTCTGTATCTGTAAGACATTCTGTGCCTTTAAAGGAGCTGGGCTAAGGAGAATAACTGCTAATCAACTGCACAACCCATGAGGGGACTGGATTATCAGATGGTGAATTTCCCTACCTGCTGCCATTAGGAAGCCATGTGTCCATATCAAAAGCCTGGATTTTACTACATAACAGGAGGAAAGATTACTAAGTAGTCGAGGAGGTAAGCAAAGTCCAAAGAGTTAAAATGAAAGCTCCTCTCTAAATTGGTTTCTAATGTGATCTGCTGAAAGAGTCTCACTCAAAAGAATCATCACCCCGATACCTGTTCAGAGTTAGCAGTGATGGGACCAGTCACATTCAGAGCTGGGGCCTGAGGAGCAGAATACGCCGTTGGAGAAGTTGAAGAGTAAGAACTGGTGCTCATCCTTTGCTGAGACTGTGAATTGTGCATATTTGCTGCAGGATCAACTTCAGGAACGCTCTGCCACATCAGAAAGACAGGAGTTCAAAAGCTGACTTGTGACAGCACTTGCTTTGTCAGCAACCTCAGGCTAAATACACTCAAATATAGCACATAATTGCACCTTGTGGAAAAGGTCAGTGTGGTTACAAGAACAGGCTGGCAGGCCAGCCCATAAACAGGCAGCTGCATCAAAAAAGCCTCCCCATATCTTTTAACCCCACCCACACGTGCTTAAGTTGATTTAGCTTCACAAGAAAAGTGAGAAGGGACTAAAAACAAGAGGCAAAGATGAATAATTATAAAATATTCTAAATTAGGAAATAAGTTGCCAGCTTAGAAAAAACCCACGTGATACATAGATACAGAACTAATTCAATCCTGACACAAGAATTGTAATCCTTCAGACCTTGATCACTTGCATTTACCACTTCAAAGACTCATTAACTCCAGTTCTCAGAGTGAAGTCAGAACACCTAGAATCATTACGTGACTTCCTAGCAGCAGTTCTGTCAGCTTTCCAGACCTAACTTTTCAGAGGTATAAAGATCTCACATGACCATGGGATCGGTGAGAGATTTTGACTCTGTGCACCTTCACAAGTCAGACAGGCCTTGGTCCAGGGTTATCACCAACAGAAACAGTCATACTTTTGATAAAAAGAAGTAAACCTCAAACATATATCCTGCTGCACTCTCTCTGAACTAATTAGCTGCATTTATCTGGTGGTTTTGTGGTACAAGACAAGTGTATAAACTTCCTCCAAACTCCTTTCTTCTCAGATTGATGCTTGACTCAAGGGAGGGGATACCATTACCTTATCAGCCTGTCAGATGCAGCTGTATTATGCTCCTTTGAGCCCCTTCACTGTTAAAAAAGTCCTTCCAGGAGTGAGAAAATGAGTCAAATTCAGAGAAACACAGGGGAGAAAGAAGAGTTGTTATCCTACCATTATTTTGGGGGAAAAAAGAGCAGCAGCTTACCCTCTGTGGTGTGTGTATTGGAGACAGGGCATCCAGATCTGCCATGGGGAACTCTATGCCTTTCCTCTTGAGTTCTTCATAAATATGCACTACTCCAGTCAAATCAGGACTACTTCGAAAGGCATCAGCCCAGGCCTGGAAAACATGAGGGATTACCCATCAACCTTCCAAATGAAGTTCCAGCTTCACCCTGACCTCAGATACTGCCTACAAATGGATCTAAGCAAAATTCATAAAGTCATACAATAATCTCAGGAAGCCTCGATTTACTTCATGAAACATCCTCATTTGTTGCCAAAGAAGAAGACCCACATCTGTTAAATTTTCTTCAGTATTTTATTTGGATCAAACCTAAATAAAAAAGGTAGTTTCTGAGGTTCTTCTATTGTGAAACCTGCAGTCCCACGAGCAGCAGAATTAATGAAGCCTGGTTTCTTACAGAGCACATCCAATGCTTAGACACCCCGGTGTGTCACAGAGTCAGTTTAAAGGGAGAATTTCCCACAGCCAGAACACTAATAATATCTCTCCCACATGAATCCTCTGGTGCCTAAAAAGACTTCAATTCACATTTGAGCTTTTTCTTCAGTGGGAATACCAAGCGCTTCTCTTCTCTAGCCAGCCTCCTGTACTCATGAAGCTGTGAGGAGCACAATATCTTGAAAGCCTCTACCCCCTTTCCCTTTTGCTGGAAAACAGCCAAGTATTAAAACTTTAGAGGAAGGGAAAATTGAAATATTATGACTCAATTAAAAATGAAGCATTCCACAAACCCCCACATATGAGGTAGAATATCTGTGTGCTGGATCCAGAGCGACTGCGAGACGTGTGGGGGCTCTGAACTTAATTCATTTAGTCATCACTTTTTACACTAGTTCTTTGACTATTTTTACTTTAAAAGCTGTTTTTAACTACTTCTTATATTTGAGAGGAGAGAAATCAAAGCTAGCCAAGCAAAATAAGAAATAATATTCATATTTAACTCACATTCCTATTCCGTTCAGTTCTAAGAAAGGGCATTTCCTACCCTAGCTAGGAGACAAGCCATTATCAGCTGCAAGCTAACAATTCTGGGGTTGCTTCTCAGCATTGTCAGGAGTAAATTAACTGCATCATTTGTGCTTATGCAGTGCAAGGCCAAGCAGCCCTATTGGAGCCAGAGAAAACAGCTCAGACTGCAAAGAGCCATTCTGTTCCCTTGGAATCGACCTTCCCAACCATCCCTGACTCTGATGGAGGTATTGAGTGCACAAGTAACTCTACCCTTGCACTCTCTCTGTGTTTTCAATTTACATAAGAAGTCCTCTGAACGATGCTTCTACATAATGGTGTCCTCACTTCAACTCTATTTGCAAGTAAAGAGTGAAAAATGTCAGGCAAGGGATGTTCTATTTAGCAATCACTCCAAAGACATGAGAGGCAAAAGTACGCTGTGGTGCTGTCCACCAAATTTTAATGAGGCTCATTTGTCCAGGAGGATGTACTAATGCATCCCCTGTTCCACTGCCTTCCTATAGATTTTGTTGTAAGCACTAATGACAGCAAACTCACTTCATTTGCACTTTACCTTTTTAATATATTCTCTCTTCTGCAACTCTCTCCCCTGGAGAAGAAGAATACACTTTCATTTGTATTCTTCTTTGCCTGAGCTGGGAGCATTATCTACATCAGTGTGTCTCAGAGGTCACAGGCAGGACCAAGTGCTATTGTCCTAAGTGCTGTCTACACACACTGTAAGACAATCCCTGTCCTACACAGCTTACCATTCAACTGGGCAACAGTAATATTAGCTCTGCTCTAAGGATATGGAGCTACACACAGAGCTTAGGAGACTTGTCCATTGTCCAGACAAGCGTATGACAGAGGGGAGATTGAATTCAGATTGCCAAAGACTTTGGGCCAGACTGTCAAAGGTAGATATTTAAGGATGCTGGATAAATCCCACTTGGCACCTCAGTGTGCCCAAACAGGTTAATTAAATGCCATTGAAAATCTGGCCCCTCAACCAGTGACCATCCCAAGCCAATTTTTCCAGTGTCAGATGCTTTCTAACAGATGTACCCTCAAAAGAATTTGCCACACCACTAAGTCTCCTCATGCTCCATCTCTGAGGACAGTGGTCAGCTGCTGGGCAGTAAGGTGGCATGACCTCTGAGGTGATATGCAAGTTCTCACCAAGGCACAGCAGTTAGGAATATTTCCGTGGCCTTTTAGCAAGGTGAAGGAGGAAGGATAAGCAACACCTAATACAGGCTAATTCATGTACATTGGGAAATAGGTCAAGAAGGTGAGACACAAAATGCTCAATACCTCAAAACAGTCAAGTCTCTAGATAAGAAATTGGATGGCAAATTCATCTACCCTTGCTATGGAAAGGCCCAGAGCTGTATGGCTGAAGACATATACTGTTTGTACAGCTTTTTTGCCATGCTTCCAAGTGCTATTAATCCTCTCATTTCTGTTCTTATTAATTCCCTGAGATCAAATTGTAAAAAGTCTACAGAAGGGGATAAATGTAATGTTAGAGGAGCAGAGCTGAGAAGAGATCAGCCCCCTGGAATGGAGTTAACTCCAACTGCAGGGAGCTCTAAAGAGCTGAGTCTAAGCTGGAAAAAAGTGGTCGTGACGTTCAGGAGATTTTGGGGGTGTGTGTCCATAGGGCACCTGAGATGAGTGACTGCCATCCCTTTTCCAAACTTGTCAGGCAATCTGGAAAACAAAGTCCCCTGCCACCTCCAGCTGAAGAGACACTAACAGAACCCACCCACAGGCAACTTGCAGAATTCTCAGGCTGTTTACACCAAAAGGCATTTTGTACCCAGAGTGAAGCTTTTAGCTCTGCTGCACTAAGCCTGCTCAGTTACAGCTCTGTTCAATGCACTCAGACCATGACTTTTCAGTTATTTTGCAAACACTTCCATCTTAGCTGCACTGATGACTGGGAATCCACTTAAATCCAGGACCCAGCATAACCAATGTTTGCTAAAACACTGCAGCAGAGCAAAGAGCACAGGAACACACACAGTTGTGTTGTGTGGGACAGTATTTAACCCCACGTCCTGGTCACCACATGCAGCAGGCAGACACCCGTGGGTTCAGTCAGATGCAGAAGAGTTGCTTTTAATAATTTCATTAATTTTGTGCTATATTTTTTCACAAAAGCCTTGAGATCAGAGACCAGGAACAAAGGGACCTCACGTCCCCTGATGCAGTGCCCACCTAATCCCCCTGCTCAGCCAATTTCCTGTTCAGAAATCAGTTATTTACATTGTCATGCTCTAAAAATGTCTTCCTACCTGTGTATCCAAATAACAAATAAAGCAGCAGCAATTCAACGGCACGCTTTGCCCCAAAAAGGAGAAACCTATTTGGGAAACTATGCTGCACATTTGTAAATCCCTTCCCACAAGAAACACTGCAGCAGGTTTATATCATTTTAAATACGCAGTGTCTTTTAGTCTCTGGTGTATGCAATAGCCTGTAGGAGCTTAGTGATAAAGCTTCCTATAATTGTCAGATTTCCTCCAGGCAGGCACCGATGTTTCCTCATGTGTTGCTAATGGTTTGTGGAATTAACATGGCTGTTTATTGTTATGCTGCACAGAAAGAGAAGCAGCAGACAGGCCTAGGTCTGAACCTCCTCACTGCAGGCAAGGACCTGACAAAGCACAACAACCAGAGAAAAGACACCAAAGCCATTTCAACTCCTATATCGACGTTTACTTTTCTATAACCATCTTGAAAACAAATTCAGAATGCTTTCCAGTGCTCTGGAGAGAAAGCAACACAGAAAGGTAAACGTTCTGCCACTCATGGTGAAAGCAGGATGCTGTAAAATTTCCTGGGCTCAGATGACAAGCCCATCACTGAAGCAGGTCTCCAGCTTCTAACATGACTTAAATTGCAAAGCCATCTATTTATCATTTATTAAATCCTCTTCTTGTAGAGGACAGTGGTACCTCTCTAACTAGAATCCAGGATAAAACCTCTAGGCATGTGTGTGTCTGCTCTTCCCTGCCAGTCTAAATATATTGTTTGGTTTTACAGATAAAAAACTTGCCACATTTTTAATGATGACAGCACGTTCAGCCATGCGTAGCACCACAGCAGACAGTCCTTTCAGGCAGCAACATATGGAAGCAGAGAGAAGCTGCTTACCTGAATCAGTGCTAGGACTTTATCCTGTACAATCGTGGGGGGGTTATTCTTGGGTGAGATGATTTTCACCAGGACACCATCTATGAAGTCACGGTTTGCCACTAGGACATGAAAGCGATGGCCACAGTTCTTCACACAGGTCTCCAGCACCTGCACAATCACAAAAATAAAAGCATTCCCTGTTGGAGCAAAGCTTGATCACATACACAGCACCTATGGGGCTGGCTTCTGATTTTTTTTATATTTTATTTTGAAACTTTTGATGGGAGGGAGAGAATATAGAGGAGAAATTACAGTTATACTCTTAATTCTTCTTCTTCTTCCCCAGTTTTACCAAAAAGCCTCCTCTTGACACATGCTTTTAGATGTACCTCAACCACCATTAACATCTTGGGCACTTTTGTGATCTCCCCTTTGCCTGTTTTCAAGACAAAGAAACAGTTTCTTCCTCTTCAAAGCAGAACTTTCCAACCTGTGCAGCTAAAGAGCTAAGTACGGAGAGTCACATCAAGAGCAGGTAAGGCAGAGGACATCCTGTCACAGTGAGATATCAGTGTGCTGTGGCACTCCACCAGTTCCTGTGTAGGTGGAACACAGCTGGACCTGCTTGCTTAGAGCTATAAGCCATGTTTTAGAGGTGGGAATTCAGGTGAGTGATCTTCACTCATTCAAAACGGTCTCTTGTGAATGCTCTGACAGGCTATACTTTGACACGTTTTCCCCCTGCAACCTTGCTAGAGGCACCTTCCACTTGCCATTCAACTGCCATGGAAGAACAGCTGTTGATTTGTCTCTGAAGAACATGATTAGCATGGAGATAAATCCAAGGCGTCACTTCTCCTCACAGCCATGCCTAATAACCACTGCCACTCCGTATCTGAGGAGTCTGTAATTACTCTCTGACTTCAGCTACTTTCATCAGCCATGATGACACGGGACTCATTCCAGATGAATTTTGCTCTTTCCTGCACAATGGATAATCTCATGGTTTGGTCTTTGGTAATCTGTCAAAATGACAATTCAGGATGGGAAATGGCAAGAAGGCAGAAAGTACAGTCACGCCTCGTCGGGGAGAGGCAACAAGAGCTGCGTGGAAGATCGTACAGATCACCTACCCACAGCAGTGGAACTCCATCTAGTTAGTGCTGCCCATTCCTCAGGCTGCTGTGGTGCTGAGCCTGCCCAGCACCACGCAGCCAGGAGTTCTGCATTGCCTGGGAAACACCTACTGAAAGTCAGCGCTGGGAAAGGCCGCTGGTGAATTATCTCACACCTTAGCAGTGCTGCCTAAACACACAGAACATAATTTACACTTTATTGAGGGAAATTAGATCAGCATAAATTAATGTGAGTCTCCTACGGAGATCCATTCACAAGGGAAATTGTGCATCAGCTACTTAGGAAGCTGAAAATATGGCAAGTTCATCATCTTCACTCACAGATAGGCCCACAGATGTTGTCTTGGGTTGGAGAAATGGCTGGACACAGGGAGGTGAGAGTGGAAGGGAAAGCCCAGATGGGTACACAGACCCATTTGGGCTATTTTAACTTTCCTCTGTCAGTATTTGGGATGAGTAATAGCCTCCCCAAAAAGTAAAAATCAACCAAGTCAGAAAAACACTATACAAAACTTGCAGCTTCTCTCCAAGGAAGTGAGGAGGCAACTGGAGAGGAAAAAGGGCAGAGAAATGGCTGTTAAAGCAAACAGTGTGTGCATTCAACAAAGTGCCAGGAAAAGGAAAATGGCAAAAGAAAAGGGTTCTGCCCTTCTGAGGCATTCCAGCCTGCCCCCACTCACCGTCAGCGCCAGCATGACCTCTCTGTAATTTTTGTTCCCATTCAGCCTCTTCTTCAGTGCTCGAATGGCATCCTTTGGGCTGAAGGAGAAACACACCATTTGTACAAGACAGCTCAGACATGCTCTCTGCATACCATAAAGAGTGTGGGAAAAGGAATCCTTCACCATTTCCAGCTGGACATAAGCACGTGGGCTAACATCAGATTACCTGACTACAACCAAACTAGGAGCACACAATTATGTGAGGAGACAAGATACCATGGAAGTCAAGAGCAGAGCAATGCCTGAGGCTTGCAAAAAGGCAGGTTGTTGATCAAGCAGGACAGACTGACAGCCACCCAGAAAAAGACCCAGGGTGTGAGACTAGAGATCAGTTCTCCTGCAACCTGCAAGCAGCGTGGCTTTTCTGATGCTGGAGGAGATGTGTTGGAGAAGCTCTCTGTTCCAATGGCTGAAATGAATTGCAGTGCTGCAAGGATATACACCTGCGGAACACAAGAACCCCCCAAGTACAAGCTCAGTACCTTCTCCAGCAATATGTTTTTCATGCCAGTCCTTTCAACCAGAGTCTGACCACAAAAAGTCCTGCACATCATACAGTAGTTTTCTGAAATGTCTAAGGAGCAGGAAAATTAAGCAACTCATATGCAAAGTGCAGTCAAACTCTGAGCATCTGCCCCCAGACTCACTGTGTCTCCTCACACGCCGAGTGTGACTGGCTAAGATTGTGTTTGTGAACCTTCCAAAGTCTGCTGAAATAGCACATACCCCTCTTCTGTCTCGTTGATGATGTCACAGATCTCCATGTTAAGTGTCCAGTCCTCACTCTGCAGAGAGCCATCTGTGGCCTTTTCTGTAAAGTGAAGAAAAATAAGTCTTTTAATGTCTTCCTGATTAGGTGCTGGGCTTTAATCCTGCCTCAGTTATTCTGAGCTGACACTATACAGTGAAAGAAAGATAGAAGGGAAAAAAAAAAGTCCCCACTGACTGTAAGCAATGTCAAATCTTCCCTCCTGGTTTTAGGGATCAGCACAGAGGTTTCCAGACAGAATCAATTATCCCTCAAGCTCATTACCTTCAGCCCACATAGATGGGCTGTTCTTCAAAGACTCCTGGGAGAGCAGGAAAATGTCAGCTAATTCCAATTTAAACTTCTCAGATGCTGCATTATTGGCAAGTTATGAGGTAGGAAAATCTCCCCAAAATCAACACGACCTCCTCCCTGTTGCAGTAGATATGAATCGAGGAAGGGAAGACAGCAACTTGGAGACAATTCAAGTCCAGAATTTCAGTTTGAAAAGAACCACCAGCATGTGAAAACATTTATTTAAGTGTGACACTTCAGGTCACAGTATCACTCACGGGCACTCCTTTTTGCCCAGGACTCCTGTACCACAGCCCCTCACTGTCTGCTTGGCAGGGAGCTGGGCACTGCTCCCCTCTGCCCCACGCTGTGTCCCCGCTCTCCTCTCCGTGCTGGGGCTACTCACACACCTCCCAAGCACAATCACCTTCCTCCTGACTCCCAAATCCTCCCTCCCCATCTGCGTGGCAGTTGAGTCACTCCAGCATCAGCCTAAATTCCAGGGGCAGGATGACCTATAGCACTGTGACAGCAGCAGATGCCAACCGTTGGCTGTTTAATTTATAGATGTCTGCAAGAGTAGCACAACCATAACTTCAAGTAATCAGTTGACAAGAACTATTTCCTCCTTGGGATTTCCTCCTAAATCAATGCAGTCCTGCCTAGTGGTGCCTAGAACATCCCTTGAATTTTTCACACTTCTCACTTGAGGCACTCAAACCCTCTGTGTTACACTACCCACATCCAGAAACTCTGCTGAGCAGAATATAAAGCCTGTCACCAGAGAGACCTAAAAATGGGACCTTCAAGACAAATGGGACCTTCTGCACTAAATTAATCCAGCTTTTTCTACTGATCCCTAATGTCAGGATCTAATGTTGGAAGGAAAACGGGGTAAAGAAAAACATTTTTAAAATCAACCAAGGAAAAAAACCTTCTAATAATTTTATGGCCACAGGTACCATCTTCCCCAAGCATCCTTCTGTCTCTACATCAGGCTTCAATCTATCCCCCTTTTTTTGGAGAACACCAAGCTCCCAGAACTTCACACATCTCTTTTTATTCCTACCAATGATGTTTTTCCCATTAATGTTTCTATCACAGTGACTGAGGATATAGAAGCCCACAGACCAAAATGATGAGATATTATTTGGTCAGGCTTCCATCTATCCCCCAGAACAAGGCACATTTTTTTGGAGAACACCAAGCTCCCAGAACTTCACACATCTCTTTTTATTCCTACCAATGATGTTTTTCCCATTAATGTTTCTATCACAGTGACTGAGGATATAGAAGCCCACAGACCAAAATGATGAGATATTATTTGGACAAAGACTGTGTCTGGGCAATTCAAGTTCCCATGACTTGTCTACACCAGAACTGTGGCTAAAGCAGCTCCACCAAGGACAGTAGCTGAGGCCAACCAGGCAGCTATTCAAAATCCAAGCAGAGAGTGCTGAAAAGAAGTCACATAACTCCAAAATGGAGAGGACACAATGGAAAAGGAGATTATGGAACAGGAGATCATGCTCTGCAGGCCTTGCTTCTCATTCAAAGAGGCAATGCTGCAAGAGAGGCAATGCACTGAGACAGCTGCACAGGGGCTCATGCATTGAGGGGGGAATGGAGGCTGCAAAGCTTCCACATGTGCCACCTTCATCTCTGGGTCTTCTTCAGCCATCACCACCTCCTGGTAGAGTTCACTCTGTCAACAGAAACTATTTCTGCTTGAGGAGGAGCCTCAGAGAGATCCATGGCTTCCAAAATATCCAACAAATCATAGAAACATAGACTGGTTTGGGTGGGAAGGGACCTTTCAGGGTCATCTGGTCCAACCCCCCTGCAGGGAGCAGGGACATCTGCAGCTAGAGCAGGGTGCTCAGAGACACCTCCAACCTCCCCTGGGATGGTTCCAGGGATGGGGCAGCGACCACCTCTCTGGGCAGCCTGGGCCAGGGGCTCACCACCCTCAGTGTCAAAAATTCCTTCCTTCTCTCTAGTCTAAGTCTCCCTCTTTTAGTTTCAAACCATCACACCTCATGTTGTCCCAACAGGCCCTGCTCAGAAGTCTGTCCCCAGCTCTCTGACAGGCCCCTTGAAGTACTGAAAGGATGCAAGAATGTCTCCCAGTAAATACTAGAGATGTTTTTGAGGATTTCCAATTTACTGCATTTTGGTCTCTTAGGCAGGATTCTCCTAAGGAAGAGCACAAGCCCAGCTGTTTAAAGTTTTCCAGGATACAGGAATTCATTTTGGTGCAAAGCTCCTTGTAACAACCATTTTTTTAGTTGCATTTTGGTTTTGTATCATGCATAAGGCTTTATTGCTATAGCATGAGATCCACCTTCCCCTCCACACAGCCCTTGTTGCTTAGGAAAACATTTTATTTAACATTAGAGAATACCCCTTAATATTCAGAGATATTTAACCAAAAAAAATCACTACATCTGCTCTGCTGGAGAAGGTGATCTCCAGAGCTGCAAAGGATTTATAAGCACAGTGCTGCAATACAAGAGATTACACCTTAAATAGAGGGTGTTCCTTAATCTGGTCTTGTGATTTGTTTTCTTCATCTAAACCTGTATGATCAAATGTGAGCTCCTCAGAGTGTCTGGCATCAGGCAGAGACTTAGCAACATTAATACTTGTTGGTTCTGCTCTTGGTTTTTATAAAGGCTTGTGGAAAATGCTGATCCTGCACAACGTTGCACTAGCAGCCAATTTACTCATTGGTCTTGTAAGGCCCATTTAGTTAAGGGCTATTTTGATTAAATGTGTACATGGCACCACTCTGCAACAAAAAAAAAATGGTATTTTGGAGCTGGTAGAGTGACAGAGATGCTGCTGCAGCACTGTATGGAGGGTGACACAGAAACACTCATCAGGGAGTCCCCAATAACCTCATTTGTATTCCCCCTCTGAGATACACGAGGGAAAACAAAATCCTCTTTCTCCCAGAAAGTTGGTTACTGCCTTTTTTTTTTTTTAAATTTCTATTCTTTAGTTGGAGTAATACATGGTTGAGACTGTGTGGGTTTAAGATATAACAGTTGGCTTTTTGAGAATGAGTTCCTTTCCCCTTGGGTAATTTTTAATTCCAATAAGAGTCGGCAGCTAATTTTAGTCTCTTCTTCAGCAACAGAAAGCACACAAGCTCTTGCCATCGGTAGCCGTTTGTCCTTTGTAGGGTGTGTGACCCAGATTTGCTGCTGCAGTGCTCTCTCAACTGCTCCAGAGGAGTTACCAGACTGCAGAGAAGGCACATGGGTTAGTGCAGGACTTGTTTGAAGAACAGTATTACGCTGCGAGGAATTGAAAGCCTCTAGAGCTCTTCCAGAACCAAACCTCAGCAGGTTGTAGTTGTGGATTTCTGGTGAGACAGCTCTGCCTGCACTCATCTGTAAGAGAATCCCTGCCTGACACACCCAAAATGCTGTAAATTAAAAATACTCAGTAACCTGTCCAGTATTTAATGGACATTTTGGAAGCCACGCTTCTCTCTGAGGCCTCTCTCCAAACAGCGAACAGCTATGACTGACAAGCTGAAACAGATTTTGGAAACTATCACAGAAGTGCAGAGGAACAGCATGAAAATAATGCAAACCCACTCTAAAAAAGGTCACCTGTTCCTCAATCTCTTTCAACCTCATTAAAAAGCATCTGAATGGTGCCAGTTCACACAAGGACTCTGGAACGTGACCAAAGGATTCCAGGGTGACTTAAGAAATATTAAATCAAACAAGGAAAAAGGCAACGAGCAGGAGCTCCTTCTGCCCCTCCCCTCTCTGAGCTGAAGGGTTTATGGTCGAGTTTAATGGTGCAACAAAAGGGCTGGCAGCTCCCAGCTGGGGTGCCAAGGGTGCTTTGCACAGCTCCTGACCCAAGCACTGGTTATTGCTGACTACGTCCCTGCAGCATGGGCTGGGAGCTCAGCATCTCCCAGGGAGATGTGATATCACCAGTGAGACTATCAGAAAGCCTCTCTCAGAAAGAAGATGCTATCAGTTCCCACCACGTTTCCCAAATTAAAGCATAGATGTTCTGGTGGAAAGAAAGCCAATCTGGCACTCCAGGCCTGACAGGCTGCAGACCTTGGATGCTGCGTACGCACACACAAGCATTAACTTGTCTCTAGCCTGCAAAGAAAAGGAGAAAAAATTGTGCTATTTTTTCATTCACGCCTCCCCTCTGAGATGTAACTCTCGTGGCCATGTTTCCACACTCTGCTGAATGGCAATATCAGCATTTCCCCACTCATGCTGAAGTCGTGCACGTTTTGTGGCACTTGGAAGGGTGTTGATCAGGCACGTAAAGTTTTCAGGGTAAACAGTCAGTGCACACACCCCCAGCTAAGCCCCCTCCCAGGCAACCTGCTCCAACCTCAGGGATGGCACCACAAGGGAATCAAGGCAGAAATGCCCATGTCACCCCCACGGAATGAAGAGGGCAGGCCAGGAATGGCAAGGAAAAAACAGAAGAACTTTTACCACCCAGCTCAAAAGTCACCTACCAAAGAAACACTAACACTGGTTGTCCTGCAGAAGCTGCTCTTGGTTTACAGCCCATGCTATTTTTGCTTCAAAGTTACAGTTCAAGGTTGATGACACGTGGCTTTGTTCACACAGGGATAAGATAAAGCAGAACTCCTTGCTCTTCCCTGCTTCCCCCTTCCAGTGCTTGTCTCTGGCCATTATATTGAACCTGCTGATGGAGACAGTCTGAAGCTTTTCATTAGCATTGCGACTGTGCTGTTCAACTCATGT